TTTTATACCATTTTAATTACATGCAAGTAGTAAGGTCAGTTCTAGGTTGAGGAACTAGCAATACAATAGAGCAAATAATCAAGGAACAAGCAAGTCAATAAACACAAATAGTCAAAGAAAAAGCAAAACAATAAACAAAGGCCCATGATGACTCCCGTGATCACTGTTTCTAAGGGCTTATCATGATGAGCAAAATATCTGAGCCTACTTCCCTGTCCTAGCCCAAAGTCATTTTCATGCCTGAAACCTACTTCTTTGTTCTAGCCTAAGATTTAAATTCCTGCCTGAAATTACTTCTTTGTTCTAGCCTAATGTCAGATTCCTGCCTGAAGCCCATTTCCTTGTCCTTGGCCAATGTCAGATTCCTGCCAAGCAGCCCCAAAAGCTCTTCACATTCCCCCATTTTTTTTTATTTTATATACAAGACTGAGCTTGTCTTAGGTCATTCTGACAAAAAATGCCTTCCTTACCAATTATGGAGTATGCATTATCAAAAGCAGTGCACTTCTGTCTTGGGTTGGTAAGGCTCTGTGCAGAATGTTACCTGTCCTTGGCTTACCAGCCTATCAAATTAATAACTATGTCTGGGGGCCCATTTTCAGTTTCAATTCATGTATTTTGGCTGCCAACATGTTTATGTTATTAAAGATAAGGTTTAACATGATGGGCAGGAATAAAAGTATTCCCAGGACAAAAAGGGCTAGCATGATCAAGCTAACTATGCCATTCTTGAAGCTTGACCAAAACGGAAATACTGACCTCAAGCCATGTATAATTTTATCAGAAGTATCTGCAGCATCAAAGCTCAGCAGAGCAGCATTGTTTAAATTCATAACCTCACTATGCAAAGTTAAAATATCCAGAGAGGTGTTAGAATTATGCCAAATACCCCTGCAAGTGTCTTTAAACTTTTTCCTAATTATAATGACTATCGTTGTAAATTTTAGAAATAACACAACTCCGTTGGTATTTGGCATGATACTTGAGATAACGCCCTACTCTTAAACTCTGAACCTCCTTCCTATAATTTGAATAGGATAAAGAGCATCAATCTGATGTTCCAAGTGCCTATGTAAATCCTCTTGTATACTCAACACATTAGTAACATTTTTTTTTGCTAAATGATTAACAAAAGTAGCTGTCTTAACTCTTTATGTCAAAGCAATTGAAGAGGCAGTGATGCTAGCAATTAATGTAACTAAAGTTGTTATACCATCAACAATCAAGCCCACTACCCTCTTGCTTTTGCTTAAAGCCTAACTTATTTCTTCTAGTACTTGCAAGCTTTTTTCAGAAAACCAAGTTTCTGTAATACTCAGGGCAATAAAACAAAAGCTGGTTGATAGAGCCCCACACCAGACATACCAGGTTTCAACACACTAACACAATTAGAAAGTTTACAATCAATGCAACTTACAATAAATACTGTAGAAGAAACAAAAGTAATTTTAACTTGACAATTAAAAGAGCCTTACACATGCACTAACACTTGTTTGAAATCCAGATCCTGTCCCAATTTTATCTCTTGCTAACATAACATCATAGAGACTGCTCTTAAGACTAGGCTTCACATTCAACAGTAAATGGCCAGGAGAAAACAAACTCAACAGCATCTGTGGAGGGACCTGTATCTTAAGTCTCTCTCTATCTCCCCCCCTCTCCCTCCCCCTCCCCCTCTCCCTCCCCCTCCCCCTCTCCCTCCCCCACCCCCTCCCCCTCTCCCTCTCCCTTCCCCTCCCCTTGCCCCTCCCCCTCCCCTTTCCTCTCCTTCTCCCTCTCCCTCTCTCCCCCTCTAACCTTCTCTCCCCCTCTCCCTTTTTCTTTCTCTCTCTCTCTCCCTACCTCTCTCTCTCTTTAATTTTAATCTTTTAAATCTTTTCTCTGTTTCCCCCCCCCCAGGTCCTTGCACATATATTATAGCTTCAGGTTTGCAAGCTTTATAGAATTCCTGAATGTACTAATGAGTGGGCCTATGTGCCTATATCTGTTTCTTATGCCTTTTCTTGAGCTCTTTTATTTTTCTTATGTTTGTTTTGTTCTATTCCAGTGTGTTTGTTTTTATCTTATTTATTTTATTATTATCTTTTTAAGAGTCCTGGTTGTTTTCTGTTAAGAGAGAAAAGGGGTGGATCTAAATGGAAGAGGAGGTGGGAGGTGGAGGGGACTTGGGAGGAGCAGAGGTTGGAGAAATCATAATCAGTATACATAAAAAGTAAGTTTTCAACAAAATAAAACAGAAAAAATTCTAATAAAAGCTCATTAAAAGGATTTTTTATCTCTGATAAAATGATGGTATGATTATTCAGTCACTAACCTTTGTGTAGAAAATTCATCCAAATTGAAACAGTCACTTCCAGATGGAGAGGCAGGTTCATGAGACTTGGGGAGTTCAACCTCTATAAGTTTTCAGAAGTTCCTCAAACCAAAAATCATTTCACAAGGTTCCTCCAAAGGGTCATAGAAGCTGTAAACAGTTCTAAGGCAGAGGAAGATCTGAACTTTCCAGCTGATTGCGAGTTTGTTAGAGACACTCAGGCAAGGAAGTTTTCAGGATTTACCTAATCTGGGGTGAGGTGAGCTTTTGGTGAATAAAAAAATGTCACCCAAACTCCTGTAACTTATCCTAATAAAGTAATAAAGCCACTGGCTTTCAAAAAAGTCAAAATCCGTCCTTTGATCTCAGGATAGGAATGAGACAGGGAGAATGTGAGAAAGAGAGAAGGAGGTGCTTCTCTGTGTGAAAGTACATTATGCCAAAGTAGACGAAAGAAAGAAAGAAAGAAAGAAAGAAAGAAAGAAAGAAAGAAAGAAAGAAAGAAAGAAAGAAAGGAAGGAAGGAAGGAAGGAAGGAAGGAAGGAAGGAAGGAAATAATAGCTTTGTGTTTTAAACTAAATTATTTGGGAAAGTTGGAATAAATATTTATCAAAAGGATGTCAAGAACGATAATATGTTTGAATATAGATCAGTTGGATTTTTTCTAAAACGTAGACGTCCTTCAGCAGAAAAAAAAAGGAGAAAGAAAATATGCTACATTTACACAATGGAGTATTGCTAAGCAAGTTTTTTTAAAGGTCATATGAAGGTTGCAGACAAATGACAGAAGTAGAAAACAATTATTCTTAGTAAGGTAGCCCAGACCTAGAAAGAGAAATATGGTATGTATTTGCTTACATGTGTATATTAGCCATTAAGTAAACGATAACCAAGCTATAAGCCATAGACCCAGGGTCTAGGGTGGACACATGGATTTCCCTGAGAGAAACAGAATAGATTTTACAGGTGGACTTGGGGACATGGGGACTGGAACAGAAGTAGCAGGTAAGGAGGAAGAGAAGAGGTAGGATAGATGGAAAGAATACACAGAGAAAGAGGTCCACTGATGGAAGATACAGAAATCTAGTGCAGGGTAAATTTCCTAAGATATATGATAATCCTAATCAGGCCTCCTAATAATGAAGATGTGGAGTCTCAACTGAGCATGTGCTGTCACCAACCAAGGGTTCCAGTACTGGAAATGGTTGCATCCACTTGAATTGTTGGCCATGGTAATCCCCAAACAACACAGGCTGATACTAAAATAAAGGGTTGCTCTTTCCAAACTGACCGTGGGACACCACTGGCAAGTACAACACCAACATTGAACATGGAATACTCCAGATGGTGCCTCAATGGAGCCTTCACCTCAACATTCTAGTGACTTTGATAAAGGAAGGTACTCTGCAGATTAGCAAAAGAGAAACATAAATACCAACTCATCCATGAAACCTTTGTCCTACAATCTGTCCTGACCACAAGATATGCTAGGGCAACAGTACCACAAAACTTGGGGAAATGGCCAACCAATGTCTGATTTGACTTAAGGCCCACTCCACCATGAGCCAGACCCCACTCCTGACACTGCTTTGATGACCAAGAACCAGAGATTAGATATCCCATATACCTAGAGTAAAAGTTGCCCTTAAAGAAAACAAAATCTATCAACAAAATAACTCCCAGTGCCTTCTCCAGTCATCATCAGAGCAGCTTCCTCCTGAAGCATAAGGAAAGAGATGAAGAGACCCATAGCCAGACATTACATGGAAAGAGAGAGAAAGAGAGAAAGAGAGAGAGAGAGAGAGAGAGAGAGAGAGAGAGAGAGAGAGAGAGAAACTAAATGGAATGTCTCTATTAAATCCCCCCTAAGAGCTCCAAAAACCATGGAAGAGGAGGCAGAAAGAGTGTAAGAGCCAGAGGGGACAGAAGACACCAGGAAAATGAGGCCTTCTGAATCAACAAAACAAGATGCATATGACCTTACAGCAGGCACACGCCAACACAGGTCTGTACCCAGTCCTCTGAATATAAATTATGGCTTCCAGTTTAGTGTTTTTATGAGATCCTTGAGTGTGTCAATGACTATGTCTCTGACTCTTGTGCCTGCTCTTGGGAACTTTCCCCTCTGTTGAGTTGCCTTGTCTAACTTTGATGTGATGGATTTGCTTCATCTTATTATATTATATTTTATTTTGTCTTCTTTTGTTGTGATCTCTAAGAAGTCTGTTCTTTTATAACGAGGGACAGGAAGGGGATAGATCCCAAGGGCAGAAGAGGTAATGAGGAACTGAAAGGAGTAGAGGGAGGGGAAACTATAATCAGTGTGAGAAAATGATCTATTTTAATAAAAGGAAAAATGAAAGAATAATAAACAAATACTAAAGCATCATGAGGAATTAATTACTTCATTCACCAGAAAATAATTCCCATTTGAGTGCTCTTACTCCATTGAGAAAAAGTAAGCAAAGTTAGGATGAACCAGAGAAGTCCGAAGAGCAACCTGCCACCAAGAAAACCACTTCCACTAGCTTCTAGACTCATTTGAAGCAAGCTCACAGGAGCTGAAAAACCAAGCAGCAGGAAAATATACTATGTAGTAAAGTTGAATTGTTTACAAATACTGTTACATAACATTGAGAACAGATACACTGCACATAGGATGCATTCCTGAAAACATTTAACTTACTTGCTTTTCCCTTTGTATACTGTTGCATAAGATCCTTCCCCTAGCTTTTCCAGTTTTTCATATGAGTCAGCTTTTCCAAATTTAGGACTTGTTGGCTAAACACGAAACAGAGGGAAAACAAAACAGATTGTATCAATGTAACAATTCGCTGACACTGGATAAATAACTTTTCAATATAAGAATATTTTTAAGACAACACAATAAAGTCCTAGTACAAATTCAGAACATAAAACAAACACATGTAGAATCAAATTTACCCATAATCAAACCAAGGGAGAGCTAAAAATATTTTGACATAGCCTTCGCCCAGGGCTGCCTTGCTGGCAACTGCTTTTTCATATAGATGCCATCACATTCAATATACATGTTTTATGATCTGTGTTCACACATTCAATATATTATGAGCATTTTCCACATTATGACATGATCTAAATTAGAGATTAATAAACTATATATGCAGGTCAAACGCAGCATACATTATGTTTTTATGGACATAGAATAATAGTTGTCTTCCTTGCTTCAGTAGTTGGGAAGACACCAAAAGAAGAAAAATTTGTGACATATGAAAGTTGTACAAAAATAGCATTTTTATAATCCATAAAGTTTTATTAGAATGGTCATCTATAACAAAACTATAGATACAACACAAATTATAGAAATGATAAAACTCAGAACCTAATGTTACTCTTACAGTAAAGCATGACTGTATATTTAGTCTTAAAAACATTCCTCCAACATACTTAAACAGTAAACCAAATAGATAAGGATACATCATTCAGAGATAACTGATCATGCTAATCTTACATTATAATAGGTCAGAGAAAATATTAAGGACTGACAAATGAGATTACATGAAATTGATGCACATCTGCCCTACAAAGGAAACAAGCATCAGAACGAAGAGGCAGCAAACAAAACGGGGGAAATCTTTGCCAATTGTATATGTGATAGAGGATTAACATAGACAATAAAGGAAGACCTCAAAAATTAATCATGAAAAATTATCTAATCAATAAATAGGTAAATAAATAGAACTGTTCTCAAACATAGAAATACAAATGTATTTAGAAACTGTTCAACATCCTTAGCTTTCAGGAAAAGCAAATTAAACAATGTTGAGATGCTGTCTCACCCCAGTGAGAATGGCTATCATAAAAAAAGACAAAATATGCTGACAAGAACATGAGCCAAAGAGACCTTACACACTGTTGGTGGAGGTGTAACCTAATGACCTTACAATAGAAGTGATGAACTCACAATACATATCTGCAACCCACCCACATCATCAGCAACAGATTAACTTGATAAAAACCTGGTTCATGAACACAATGAAATTTTATTCAGCTATAATGAAGCTGCAAATCATAGCATCTTCAGGAAAATTGATAGATATTATCATTAATATGACTCTTTAAAAGATATGTAAACAACAATGATAACATAAGCAACACAAGTCAGACTCAAAAATACAAGAACCATGTTCATATGTGGACACACATATTTGTGTGTGCATGTACGTGTGTGCATGTACGTGTGTGTGTGTGTGTGTGTGAACCCATGAAAAAATATATACACTAATGTGCAGTTTGTGTGTGTGTGTGTGTGTGTAAACCCATTTATAAAATATACGGATCTTATGAACGTGAAAGAGAGACTATGATGGGGAGGGGAAGGGGATAAATGGAGAAAGACAAAAGGGAGGAAAAATACTATATCACATGTTTTCCCTCATGCAGAATTGAGATTTGGTTATACACACACTCAGGAAAGCAGAGGGGAGACTACTCACACAGAGAATTAGTCCATTGAGATTACAGGGCAGAGTGGTAGGGAGGCTGAATTAAAGAAAGCACAATGATACAAACAATGAAATGTCACAATGACATCCATTACCTCTATGCCAACGATAACAATGAATTTAAAATGAAAGGAACAAATATGTTCTCTCGTCTCCTCTCCACTCCGAATGTGACACAGTAACCAAAAGTACACTTTTTAAAAACTAACAATTTGTGGCCACAAAGAAAGAAATTATCTAATCAGACATTTTGAGGAATCTTGAATGGTATAATGTAATTAGGAATAAATGTTCAGAGAAAGATCCCCAAATTAATAAGAAAATGCTAGATTAAAATTACAGACCTTTAAGTATTCATGAGACTGGTCAACACAGGGAGGACACTAAGTCTTCCTAAGAAAGGTAAAAGGAGACTTAGTCTTATGAAAAGAGGAAAGAAAGTGCTCACTGTTGTCTTTGGGCTACAAGTACAAAGCAAAGGCTCCCTTAGCCAGCATCTATAGAAAGGCAATGGAGGAAATATATTCAAAACCCTTAGTCATCAGGAAAATGTAATTATGCCTAATGTTATAACTATGACTTTTCCTTTATAATTATTTTATTTTAATTAAAATAAAATGACATCATGGCCTTTTGATGCCATCAACAGAAACAAGTGACAGAACAGAATAAGGTGACAGTGGTTCTCAAATAAAAATATGAGTACGAATCGTAAACTCACAAATCAATTCACACAGTCAGGAAAGATGAACCCATGAAAGAGAAGCATAGGGCTTAACGGGCCAAGGAGCTAAAACTGCAACAGACGCAACAGTGCAAAGGCAAGAATGGCTCTGAAGTTACTGTGTCTTTGATGATACTGACTCGGTATAATAAGACATTTAACAAGTAATGAGTGGAACAAAACATATAGTTGAAACAGGAATAAACTCAGGTTTAAACAAAATTCTCCCCAGAAACTTCAAGGAATGACAGACTGAGTCTACACAGAAAAAGCAAAAAGAGAAATACCAATAGCCTCAAAATGGCAAGCAATATTTTAAAGTGAAGTGACATGGCTGGGTGTGGTTGAAACGAGAAAGTCAGAGGCAGACAGACCTCTGTGAGTTCACTGTGAGTTCCAGGACAGCCAGGGCTATAGAGACCCTGCTTCAAACAAACAAACAAAAACAAAAACTAAAAAACAAACAAACAAAAAATGAAAACAAAGGCAGTGGCTTTGCATCACTAATACTGCACTGAAAATCCTTGCTGAGAGATATCAATACACTGCAACTTTTAGCACCTGAGTCAAATATATTAAGGAATTAACTTCCACAGTTACCTCAACATACGGCTTGGCTGAAATAGGGTAAGAAGGTCAAGAAAGCAAGGAGAAGAGAAAATCATGTTAAGACTTCTTGAAGTAATTAGAACAGAGTGTAGATATTAATTAACTCCAAAGTCACAAATTTTAGTATTTTTCCTACATCTTCAAAAGCATTTGCTACATTTTTATAAGTAAGATGTGTATGTCTTAAATACATTGAGAAATGAAAGGAAAATGTAAGGAAGAAAGTAAGAAGGTAAAGAGAGAAATAAGAGGAGAAATTCTCCAAAAAAAAAAGAAAAGAAAAATAACATACTAAATAAATTGCATCATATAAGGAGAAAGTTAAGCCCAGCCACATCAAAGATTACAATAAACATAAGTGGACCACCTTTGACAAATAAAAGTTCACAGACTTGTGAGGTGTGAGGACTCAACAGTATGCTATCGAGTAGATTCAAAAACACAATAAGATTAACTGAAAATAAAGGAGGGAAATCCCTCAAATGTTTATTTGTGTTTCCAATGTATTTGTATAGTCTGTTTGTGTGCACCTGAGCTTTATCAAGACTGGAAATCAACCTCCTGCAAGTAAGCTTTCAACTTGCTTCCATAACAAAATCTCATTCTGTTCAATCACACAAAAACAGATTTGCTACATGTAATGAAGTACATTGTTGTTTGGTTTTTGTTGAATGTTAACAAATAGTGCTGTCGGAATTGCTTGTCCAAGGAATGAAATTAAATCTCCACTTCTAACCTGTACAAAAATCAATTCAAAACACATCAAAAAATTTCACTTAAAACCTGAAATGTTTAAAATGTTAAGGGAAAACACTTCAAGGTACAGGCATATGCAGGAACTTTTTGAATTGGATGCCAATAACTTAGAAAATAACACCAAAAATCAACAGTTTGAGTGACATTAAATTTTAAATCTCTGCACAGCAAAGGAATCAATCACCAGAATGAAATGACAGCCTGAAGAATGGGAGAAAACCTGTCATCTACTCCAGACAGAGTTACAACCTAGAATATGCAAAAACCTGCTAAAATCAATCATCAAATAAACAGGACAAAGAACCACTGTCCTGCTTCCCAGATATTCAGAATAAAGCTTCCCAAACACATCTGTACAATTCCTCTGCAATATGCTATAAATTCCATAGGATATAAATGCCCAGGAATGGTAGGTATAACTGGGTCACAGGACAGTTCTGTTTGCAGCTTTTTGAGAAACCTCTAGAGTGGTTCACTCTCACTTTTCCTCCACATCCAGACCAACATGTGCTGTATCCTTGACAATGGGTATTCTGACTAGGGTGATATGGCATCAACAAGTAGTTCGAATATGAATTTTTGTGATGGTTAAGAACGTCAAATATACATTTTTAAATTTTCCTAGCCATTTGAATTTCTTCTTTTAAGAACTCTCTGCTTAGTTTCATAGCCCAATTTTTAATTACATGGTTCATTTTCTTGGAGTATAGATTTGTGGGGTTGTTTATTTGTTTGTTTGTTTTTGAGTTATTAGCCCTCTAGCAGATGTATTTATTTTCCTCTATTCTGTGAGCTCTCTTCACTCAATCAACAATTTCCTTTACTCTACAGAAGCTTTTTAGTTTCATGAAATCCCTTTTGTGGACTGCTGGTCTCATTTCCAGAGGTACCGGAATCAGAATATCATTGCCTTTGCCTACATGTTGAAATGTACTCCCTCCTTTTTCATCTAGCAGTTTCAGGGTATTGGGTCATATCCAGAGATCTTTGATCTATACGTAGAGTTTAGTTCAGGGTAAGACATAAGGATTTAGTTACATTCTTTAAACACTGATATCCAGTGTTTCCTGCCCCCTTTGTTAATGAATGGGTAAGGAAGATACAGTATACATACAAAATGGAATTTTATTCAGCTATAAACAAAAACAAAATAATGGAATTCCAGGAAAGTGGGTGAAGCTTGGAAGTTTTATACTGAGGGAAGGGAC